GGGGGAAAAGGGGTTTCTAGGGCCCTTTTCCCCGGCAAAAATTTTTGTCGCCTCTTACAACCGCAGGCTTTAAAGGGGGGGAAAAATTTTGTTCCCAAATTCCCCGGGAAAGATAAGGTGGAAAAAAACAAGAACTGAAAAAAATAAAAGAAAAACCCAGAAAGGGGGGGGGTATGTATATGCTTGTACATGTATGGTTTTGGCCTTTTGTAAGGGGAATAGTAAAGACCTGAAATCTTAAAAATTTAAGAACAGAAAAAAGACACCAAATCCCCCCCAAATTGGGAAACAATTTTCGGATTAAAATTTTCCCCTCACTTGGGGAACTTTGTACCTCCCTGGGGGATTGGGTGTCTAAACCCAAACCTATTACCCCCCTTTGCAAATTAAAACTATAAATAAAAAATTGGCAAAAAAAGTGCATTATGCCCGTACTGAAAAAATTTTGGACTTCTCATTTAAAAATAAAATTTTTTTAAAAAAATAATTAATTTTTTTTTTTAAATTTTTTAAAAATTTATTTCTTTATTGTACATACTAGGGCCCCGGCGGGAATTAAACCAAAAAACTTTTATGGGCTAGAAAAAAATTTTGGGTTCCAACAATGAGAAATTTCAATTACTCAGATATGGTAAACATGGAAAAATTAAAATTTTTTATCGGGGTACAAAACAAATCTGGCCACAAAAAAGAGCGAAAAAACCAACGTCCCAAAAACCTGGGGGTGATCATGTCAGAGGATTCATTTTAAGGGACCATAACATTGTATCCCAAACCAAATTTCTAGAAAAATGGGCAGGATGGGTAATGAAAACCTTTTAAAACTAGGGGGGGCCCAAACCCTGATGAACCTTTTAGGTCAAATTGTTCTAACTAGGGCTGGAAAAATTGCTGCACACTAACAGCACCTTTTTAAGGAGGTGAAATTGCCGGGCCTAGAAAATGGGAGAGAACCTTTCACGGGCCGTGCAAAAAAACGGAGAAAAAACACCTCAATTACTGGGGGCGGGTTGAGGTTCCTAAAACCTGTATTTTCCCCGGAACGGGAGGCGGGAGAAAAATTTCAAAGATTTTTACCCCCCTTTGGGAAAAACCCAGAAAGGGGCTGTACCGGAAATTTCACACGGGAAAAACACCCCAATTAAAGAAAAACAAAAAGACTTGGCAGACCCATGCCCCCATCCCCCCCCAATGAAAAGCAAAGGGGTTTTCACTTGCACGTTAAGAGGGGGCCATACAATAAGTGGGCGGGGCCCGAGACTTTTAACTGCCCTCCCAGCAAAACATAAGGGGGAAATTACCCCAAAAAACTCCTGGCAGTTTCAAACTGGCAAAGGGGGCAAGCACCCAAAGTCAGTTCCGACAGCCGGGGTGGGCTCCCTAAGTTGGGTTTTCGTGCAGCCACAGCAAAAAGCCTGGTTGACAGCTCTGATCCCCCCAGGGGGGCCTGGTCACGGACCGGGGGGAACGGAGGCGTTTACCCCCGGAAATTTTCTCACAGGTAAAAAATCCAGGTAATAATTTGTAAATTTCAGGAAAAATGGCAGTGTCCTGACCCTTTTGCAAAGGGAAATACAAAGTTGCAGTGAAGAATTTGGCAAAAACTGTGGTTGCCAAAAAAATTCCAGTTCCCTTTGCTGTTAAAAAAATTTTCGCCCCTAAAATTTTACTGTTTTCTTCGTTGGGCTTTCAGTTTTTTTTAAATTTCTATACAATGCTTTTAGTGTGGCTTATTTGGTAAAATTTTTGCATGCCCAATTTAAAATTTTTATGTCTCACCCGTTTTCCTCTCTTGAAGTTTTTTACCCAAATTATATCTTCCTTTGGGTTTTCCTTGGGTTTTTCTATGTAGTTTAAAATGTTTAACTGTATTTGTGTACCCTGAATAAACTTACGTACTATTCTTAAATATGTAAATAATTTTCTAATGGTAATCTGCAAAAAATAGTTTTTGACATTTTTTTTTTTGGTTTGTATAGGGTTTTTTGGGGGGTTTTTTAAAAGAAATTTTTTATATTTTTTAAATTTCCTTAAACTGAGCTGAATTTCCTGTTTTGGGAAAAAAATTCTCTTTGACAAAAGCCACAGGAAAAAAATGTTTAACCCCTTTAAAAGGGCCCAAAAAGTAGATCTATGTTTCAGTGCATTGCACCCCCCGACCCTTTTTTTTTTAATTCAAGGGGTATGGGAAAAAAAAAAAAAAAACCTTTGGGCTTTCAGTACGTTCGGAGCGGGTAAGCAAAGTGAACGTAAAAATCTAATTTGGACAGTTTTTAAGGGTTTTAAAAAAATTTTTCCCTAATGGCCCCGGGTAAGGGTTTTTAAATTTAAATTTTTTTTCAAAACTTAAAAAAATTTGTGTGGGAAAGGTTTGATATCCTTGCAGATAAAACATTTGGCAGTTTTTTTTTTAATTTTTATTAAATTTTTTTTTGTCATTGTCATTATTATTTTTGTTTAAATTTTTTTGTAGGTCTTTTTTAAAAAAGTGGGAAATTTTCAGTCACTTGAGCAGCTTTTGGGCCCGGGAACACAGGTAACAAATATTTTTTTTTGTCAATTTTTGTTTTTATTGCATATGGGAAGCCCTTTTGGGGTTAAATGGGCCCTAGGGTGTTGGTATTTCCAAAGGGTTTTCCCCTTTAAAATTATGATGGTTGGAGATTTAAAAAAAATTTTTGGGTTGGGTTTTAATCACTTTTTTGTTAGAGTTTGTGAGGGGAATGGGCCCCGCCTAATGTGGTTTCCTGTGGGGTTTTGTGAGAAATGAGAAAGAGGCCCGGTTTAAAGCGCTCACATTTAGTCATGCGGCGTCAACCCCAGCTAGCCAACCCGGGGGTAGCTGACAGGGGGGCCCAAATTATATATGGATGAAAACGATCCCACAGGATACTACACAACATTAGAAAAATTTTTAGTAGCAATACTGACATTGGAAAAAAAAAAAGCTTATAAAAACCCAAAAAAGGGGTTCTACTTTTTTAAAAAAAGTGTTTTTTAAGTGGGGCCCGTGGAAAATTAAAAAACTTTTACTGGCAAAAGTTCCATCCTTCTTAGAAAATAAAAAAACTGAAGAATTAAAAAAAGGGGCCACTATAAAACAAAAACCAAAAAAAAACCCAAAAAGAATGAAAGAAAATATGAAGGTTCTGGATGCAAAAAAAAGATTCAAAGATCATGGGGAAACTTTCATGGAAATCATTTAAAATTGTCTAAATTACTATGGGAATTTCCCATCCCCCAAAATTTTAAAAACAAATGGCCCCCGGATTTTCCCTAGTTTTTTGGATTTTTTTAATATTTGGAAATAGTAATGTTTTTTCATAAAATATTGGCTCGGGAATTTGTCATTTTTCCCGAACGCGTCTGAAACCCGGCCCAACAACCCCCCTTTTACCCGTCCCGTTGTGCTTTGGGTTTTTCAGCCAGTGAACACGTTCCCCTGAGGGGCATACGAATTTTCTTTAAAAATTCCTTCGTTTCAGTGCTTGCAACTGCTAAAAAAAGCCACCAAGGGGCAAAAGGGAAAACTCTAGTGCCACCCTTTTGGTAAAGAAGGCGATAAAAAAACATAGAATTAAAAAAAAGAAAAAACCCCCTCCAGGGTAAATTTCCTGAACACACCACCAGGGTCTTCCCCAAAAAACCAGCCAGGGTAATTTTTCCCCAAAACCAGACCGGGTACTTCCCCCCCACACAAAGGTTTTTAAATTTTAGTGGGACTTGCACATGAGGAAATTAAATTTTCAAAGCTTATTGGGTTGGGAAGCATTGAAAATTGGGGGTTTGGGGAAATTTCAAAAATTTTGCTAGTGGGGGGTGGTCTGTGAAAGACCTGCCTAGTATGGGCCAACAGGCCTGCTGCAGTGTTCCTGCTTTCTTATGTTCTTATGTACACCAGTTAAGGAAATTGCTTCAGAGGAGGAGAAAGAGAGAGGGAAGAAGGTGCCTTCTTCAAAGATTAAGGACATTTGTGCAGAGTGGAGTGAGGTACAAACATTTGTGGAGGAACATCACCCTAACCATCTCCCCTCCTCCCATCTTCCATACTTCAAGAAGTGTCTTCAATAAAGGTAAGTGTGATATTATTGTTTTATACTTGATTTCTCATTCTTTTCTATATGTAAATCTATATTTAATCTGTAAAAAAAAAATAATTTTTTATAATACTTTTGGGTGACTGGAACAGATTAATTGGATTTACATTATTTCTCATGGGAAAAATGAATTCGGAAATTGTCAGATTTGGGTTTAGTCACTCTTTCTGGGACGGATTAATTACGATAACCGAGGGTCCACAGTACTTGCTGGAGTAGAGGAGAGATACATGACTGTGTGTGTGAAAGGTACTTGAGGGCCTAGTCTCAAATGTGTTCATACAAGGCAGGGGTGCCATGGACACAAGAGAATGTTGCATCAACATATGTGGTCCCAGACTTAAAAACTGTGCTGGAAAATATTAGAAACACTGCTGGAACAAGTGTAGAAGTCTTCAAGAGGAAACCAGACAATTTCCTCTACCAAGTGCCTGATCAATTAGGCTGTGATGGAAATGTGGGCCAGTGAGCTGGTAGCAGCAAGAACCTGGTTGGCCAAGCAGGCAACAGACAAGGCTTGCCTATGACCAGGCTGTGAGAGTGTGAAAACTTGAAAACCTTCAAAGATATATCGGGAACATTTAGGTAGTAAGTTGGCAGACAGCAAAAGTAGATGAAGCTATTAATATCCTGTCATACTGTACATGTGACTTGAAAGCCTGTTGTATCTAGTAAATCTTGACCTCTACTTGAATGCAATATACACTTAGCATAAATTTTGTTTCTTAATATTTCTTATTCCTAGAGTATTTTCTCTTCAATTTAAGAGGCCTGGTTTAGAGCAGGCTGCCTGGGCACTTGATTCCCAGTTTTGATAAATGTACAGTTGGAAAGCATTTATATATTGTTATGATAAAATTTTCTAAAAATCTGTTTTATCAATTTATTTAATCTAACTTTCAGGCTGGAAAAAACAGTGCAACACAGTAACAACCAAGAACATTTTTCCAAGTTGTGTTGTGTCGACAACATGTTTTTATGCATACGACAAGGATGAAAAGTTGCTGTTAGATCATTTGACAGACATTTTGAGCAATAATGCAAAAATTGATCACACCCAAATTAAAGAGGTTGTTAACGGAATGGTATGTCTTAATTGTTGCATACTATTTGTATTAATTATTTTACATGTATTATGAGATCTTGGGAGACGGCCGACTTGTTGAAAAAAAAAAAAAAAAAAATATATATATATAATATATATATATATATATTTTCAACAAGTCGGCCGTCTCCCACCGAGGCAGGGTGACCCAAAAAAGAAAGAAAATCCCCAAAAAGAAAATACTTTCATCATCATTCAACACTTTCACCACACTCGCACATTATCACTGTTTTTGCAGAGGTGCTCAGGATACAACAGTCTAGAAGCATACACATATAAAGATACACAACATATCCCTCCAAACTGCCAATATCCCAAACCCCTCCTTTAAAGTGCAGGCATTGTACTTCCTATTTCCAGGACTCAAGTCCGACTATATGAAAATAACCGGTTTCCCTGAATCCCTTCACTAAATATTACCCTGCTCACACTCCAACAGATCGTCAGGTCCCAAGTACCATTCGTCTCCATTCACTCCTATCAAACACGCTCACGCATGCCTGCTGGAAGTCCAAGCCCCTCGCACACAAAACCTCCTTTACCCCCTCTCTCCAACCTTTCCTAGGCCGACCCCTACCCCGCCTTCCTTCCACTACAGACTGATACACTCTTGAAGTCATTCTGTTTCGCTCCATTCTCTCTACATGTCCAAACCACCTCAACAACCATTCCTCAGCCCTCTGGACAACAGTTTTGGTAATCCCGCACCTCCTCCTAACTTCCAAACTACGAATTCTCTGCATTATATTCACACCACACATTGACACGTCGACTCCCAAATATCTGAATACATTCACCTCCTCCATACTCTCTCCCTCCAATCTGATATCCAATCTTTCATCACCTAATCTTTTTGTTATCCTCATAACCTTACTCTTTCCTGTATTTACTTTTAATTTTCTTCTTTTACACACCCTACCAAATTCATCCACCAATCTCTGCAACTTCTCTTCAGAATCTCCCAAGAGCACAGTGTCATCAGCAAAGAGCAACTGTGACAACTCCCACTTTATGTGTGATTCTTTATCTTTTAACTCCACGCCTCTTGCCAAGACCCTCGCATTTACTTCTCTTACAACCCCATCTATAAATATATTAAACAACCACGGTGACATCACACATCCTTGTCTAAGGCCTACTTTTACTGGGAAATAGTTTCCCTCTTTCCTACATACTCTAACTTGAGCCTCACTATCCTCATAAAAACTCTTCACTGCTTTCAGTAACCTACCTCCTACACCATACACCTGCAACATCTGCCACATTGCCCCCCTATCCACCCTGTCATATGCCTTTTCCAAATCCATAAATGCCACAAAGACCTCTTTAGCCTTATCTAAATACTGTTCACTTATATGTTTCACTGTAAACACCTGGTCCACACACCCCCTACCTTTCCTAAAGCCTCCTTGTTCATCTGCTATCCTATTCTCCGTCTTACTCTTAATTCTTTCAATAATAACTCTACCATACACTTTACCAGGTATACTCAACAGACTTATCCCCCTATAATTTTTGCACTCTCTTTTGTCCCCTTTGCCTTTATACAAAGGAACTATGCATGCTCTCTGCCAATCCCTAGGTACCTTACCCTCTTCCTTACATTTATTAAATAATTGCACCAACCACTCCAAAACTATATCCCCACCTGCTTTTAACATTTCTATCTTTATCCCATCAATCCCAGCTGCTTTACCCCCTTTCATTTTACCTACTGCCTCACGAACTTCCCTCACACTCACAACTGGTTCTTCCTCACTCCTACAAGATGTTATTCCTCCTTGCCCTATACACGAAATCACAGCTTCCCTATCTTCATCAACATTTAACAATTCCTCAAAATATTCCCTCCATCTTCCCAATACCTCTAACTCTCCATTTAATAACTAGTAAGATAAGATAAGATTTCGTTTGGATTTTTAACCCCGGAAGGTTAGCCACCCAGGATAACCCAAGAAAGTCAGTGCGTCATCGAGGACTGTGGATATTATATATGAATCAGTTCTCAGTTGCTTTGATGAAATGCTTTAATTCCTAATGGTTGTATTTCAGGTTTGTGCTTATGAAGCTGAAGTTGGATGGGTTCGTGCAAGAGTGAGCAAGAAGTGTAACTTAGCATCTTGCAGTCTCCGACTGTATCTTAGGAGTGATACTGATGTGGTGTACGTGCACATTGTGTTGATGGATTATGGTAACGTTTATTGTGTGCCACAGGGAGACCTGATGATGGTGCCAAGGGACTTACAAGATATACCATCAAAGGCTCAACAATATTTACTGAAAGATGTTATTAACAATGACAGTTTGGATAAGTCATTGCAGGAAGAGGTAATTTTAAAGCATTACTCTCATTCTGCCTCTACATTGTTTTTGTGTAATTTTGTTTTTAACACTTTGGCCATTTCCCACCTAGGCAGGGTAACCAAAAAGAAAGAAAAATAACTTTCATCATCATTCAACACTTTCACCATCACTCTACATAATCACTGTCTTTGCAGAGGCGCTCAGATATGACGGTTTAGATGTCCCTCCTAACTGCCAATATCCCAAAACCCCTCCTTTAAAGTGCATGCATTGTATTTCCCATTTCCAGGACTCAAGTCCAGCTAACTGGTTTCCCTGAATCCCTTCACAAAATATTATCCTGCTCACACTCCAACAGCTCGTCAGGTCCAAAAACCATTTGTCTCCATTCACTCCTATCTAACACGCTCACACACACGCTTCCTGGAAGCCCAAGCCCCTTCCCCACAAAACCTCTTTTACCCCCTCCTTCCAGTATTTTCGAGGCCGACCCCTACCCCACCTTCCTTCCCCTACAGATTTATACGCTCTCCAAATCATTCTACTTAGTTCTGTTCTGTAATAATGTTGGTAGAATTACCAACAATATGTCAAGTACAAGGACACAAGTGCAACTAATGTGACATTTTATTGTGGCAATGTTTCGCTGTCCAGGAGCTTAGTCAAGCCGATACGACAAAGCTCCTGGAGAGCGAAACGTTGCCACAATAAAATGTCACATTAGTTGCACTTGTGTCCTTTTACTTGACATAGTTCTGTTCTCTCTAAATGACCAAGCCACCTTAACAACCCCTCTTCAGCTCTCTTGACTAATACTTTTAGTAACTCCAACCTAGTATCCACACTACAAATTCTCTGCATAATATTTACCCCATACATTGCCCTTAGACATAACATCTTCACTGCTTCCAGCCACCTCCTCGCTGCAACATTTATAACCTATGCTTCATACCCATATAAGAGTGTTCGTACCATTATACTCTCATACATTCCCTTCTTTGCCTCCATGGATAATTTTTTTTTTTTCTCTCCACAGATATCTCAATGCACCATTCACCTTTATACCTTCATCAATTCTATGTTTAACTACATCCTTCATAAACCAATTTGCTGACAAGGTATCTCCCAAATATCTGAAAACATGCACTTCTTCCATACTCCCTCCAATGTGACAACCAATTTTTCTTTATCTAAGCTGTTTGATACCCTCATCACCTTACTCTTATCTATGTTTACTTTCAGCTTTCTACCTTACACACCCTCCCAAACTAGTCCACTAACCTTTGCCACTTTTCTTAAGAATCTCCCAGAAGCACAGTATCATCAGCAAAAAGTAACTGTGTTGAACTCCCATTTTGTATTTGCTTCCCAATAATTTAATCCCACCCCTCTCCCCAACACCCTAGCATTTACTTCTTTTACAACTCCATCTCTAAATATGTTAAATAACCATGGTGACATTACACATCCCTGTCTAAGACCTATGTTTACTGGGAAGTAATCTCCCTCTATCCTACACACCCTAACCTGATCCTCACTATCCTCATAAAAACACCACAGCATTTAGTAACTTACTACCTATTCCATACACTTGCAACATCTACCACATTGCTCCCCTATTCACTATCATATGCCTTTTCTAAATCCATAAATGCAGTGAAAACTTCCCTACCTTTATCTAAGTACTGTTCACATGTATGCTTCAATGTAAACGCCTGCTTTACACATTCCCTACCCATTCTAAAGCCTTTCTGCGCATCTGCAATCCTTTTCTCTGTCTTACCTCTAATTTTTTCATTAATAACCCTACCATGCACTTTACCTGGAGGGAGCAGGCAAAGGAGGTTTTGTGGGCGAGGGGCTTGGACTTCCAGCAAGCGTACATGAGCGTGTTAGATAGGAGTGAATGGAGATGAATGGTATTTGGAACCTGACGAGCTGTTGGAGTGTGAGCAGGGGTAATATTTAGTGAAGGGATTCAGGGAAACTGGTTATTTTTATGTAGCCGGACTTGACTCCTGGAAATGGGAAGTACAATGCCTGCACTTTAAAGGAGGGGTTTGGGATATTGGCAGTTTGGAGGGATATGTTGTGTATGTTTATACGTATATGCTTCTAAACTGTTGTATTCTGAGCACCTCTGCAAAAAAAGTGATTATGTGTGAGTGAGGTGAAAGTGTTGAATGATGATGAAAGTATTTTCTTTTTGAGGATTTTCTTTCTTTTTGGGTCTCCCTACTTCAGTGGGAGATGGCAGATTTGTTAAAAAAAAAAATAAAGAACTCGGTAAACTTATTCCCCAATAGTTTTTACAATCTCTTTTGTCCCCCTTCCCTTTATATAAAGGAATTATACACGTTCTCTGCCAATCCCTAGATACCTTTCCCTCTTTCATACATCTATTAAACAAAAATACCAACCACTCCAACACTATAACTCCCCCTGCTTTTAACATTTCTCTCATGATCCCATCAGTTCAAGCTGCTTTACCCTTTCATTCTACGTAATGCTTCATGCACCTCCCCCACACTCGCATCCTGCTCTTCTTCACTCCTAAAAGATGTTATACCTCTCTGGCCAATGCCTGCATTTGCTGCCTCCCTTTCTTCATCGACATTTAAAAGTTCCTCAAAATATTCCTGCCATCTACCCAATACCTCTAGCTTCCCATCTACTAACTCCCCTACTCTGTTTTTAACTGACAAATCCATTCATTCCTTAGGCTTTCTTAACTTGTTTACCTCACTCCAAAAATTGTTCTGATTCTCAGCAAAATTTCTCTAAATTTGCTCTTTCATTTGCTCTCAAAATTTACTCTTATCATTTGCTCTCCTTTTGCACTCTCGCCACTCTCTCACCGCTCTTCACCTTTCTTTTACTCTCCATATACTCTGCCCTTTTTACAATACTTCTGCTTTGTAAAAACCTCTCATAAGCTACCTCTTTCTCTTTTATTGCACCCTTACCTCATCAACTACTAATCACTCCTCTTTCCTCTTTCTCTTTCCATCTTTTTTTATACCTGTTTAAAATCCCAATTTATGTATTGGCCATATTATAGTCAAACTTTTTAAACTTGCTACAAATAATACTCATGAACATATCAAGAAAGATAGAACCGTGAATTATATTGGTCTTAACAAATTGTAATGGGGTCCCAAACTTGTCCTGCAAACTCCCATTTTGTCCAAAAAAGTTCCAATCAGGTGGATAGTACATATGTTTGGCTAGTTACCATTACTTGTCAATACACTTAGATTTTGATGAGGGGATTTGCCACCCGTTGGTGTTAAGTGACCCTGTACATGATGTAAGTATCCAAGATCTCTTATACCTGAAGTTCCTTATAACTTCTCTTTCTAACACTGGTTTCTAATGGCATTCATAGCTTTTTATATACAGTGGACCCCCGCCTTACGATATTAATCCGTTCCTGAGAGCACATCGTAAGCTGAAATTATCGTTAGCCGAATTAATTTTCCCCATAAGAAATAATGGAAATCAAATTAATCCGTTCCTGACACCCCAAAGTATGAAAAAAATTTTTTTTTTTACTACATGAAATATTAATTTTAATATACACAAACTGAAGAAGACATGCACAGTTACTACTCTACTAAGAATAGAATACATGACACTTACCTTTATTGAAGATCTGGTGATGATTGATGGGATGGGAGGAGGGGAGAGTGTGGAGGTTATTGTTTAGAAGGGGAATCCCCTTCCATTAGGACTTGAGGTAGCAAGTCGTTTTCCAGGCTTACTTCCCTTCTCGTAATGCCACTAGGACCAGCTTGAGAGTCACTGGACCTCTGTCACACAACAAATCTGTCCATAGAGCTCCGTACCTCCCGTTCCTTTAAGACTTTCCTAAAATGGGCCATAACATTGTCATTGTACAGGTTGCCAACATGGCTTGCAGTAGCTGTGTCAGGGTGATTTTCATCTGTAAAGGTTTGCAGTTCAACCCACTTTGCTCACATTTCCTTAATCTCTTTTTTCAATTCCATACTAATTCTCGCCTTTTTTACCACAGGGATGGCACTAGAAGCTTTCTTGGGGTCCATGGTGACTTATTTTGCAGTTACAAGCACTAAAAACACTGGGATAATGTGAAATGTACCGAGTGTATGCGTAGATGCGACTGCACTGGCTGGCTTGTTAACACTGGTGCTGAGGCCACAGGTGGGACGCGTCCCAGACGAATCATGTAAGGCGATTTTTTTATCGTGAGGCGAGGCAAATTTTTTGCGTTCAAATGCTTCTTATGGCGGATTTAACGTAACGCGATGCGTTCGTAAGACGGGGGTCCACTCTATAAAAATAAGTTAATCCCATGAATGTTTTCCTCTAAAGTTTGATTCTCATTGAACCTTATCATTTTATTGCAGGGTCAAAATGTTAATAGTACAGTGTGTGCAAAATAATAACACAGTACAGATCATTAAGGCCACAGGTTCCTTGGTCTGGTTAGTGCCTAGATGGCTAAGTGCTTGGATGTAATGTCACTCTTGGTATATGTATTTCGTAAATCTTTCTTTCAACACACCGGCCGTATCCCAATCTCCGAGGCGGGGTGGCCCAAGGAAATAACGAAAGTTTCTCCTTTTACATTTAGTAATTATACAGTGAAGATTACTACCTTGCTCCCGGCATTTAGTTGCCTCTTACAACACGCATGCTACGGAGAAAAATTCTTGTTCACTTTCCATGGAGATATTTCGTAAATGGTTTACCAAATAAGTGGTCTTTGACTTGCGTTTTAATTCTTCCAATATGAGCTCTACTCAGTTTGCTGGTATATTAAATCATTTTCCTTTGAAATTAATTGAAATCCATTAACCTTCCAACCCCAAAAAAAAAATTTTTTTTTGTTACAGGTTTAAATGTAAATTATAAAAAGAAATGATTTTTGCCTTTTTTGCCAGGTCCCAGCAATGTTTTAGAAATGCTGGAGTATATGTGAAACTCTTTGAAGCACAGTGTAAGATGATTGTCACTCCACTGCTGACAGTGCAGCATTGGAGTAACATTTGATGATCATGCACTGCTTTGGCTTTATTTTTTACTGTTACACATAAACATGTCTGTCTATCTGTTTGTTTCTGTATGTTTGTTTCTGTGTGTCTGTTTGTCTATGTCTGTCTAACTCGCTCAT